CTATCTATCTATCTATCTATCTATCTATCTATCTATCTATCTATCTCAAAGATGCTTTTCCAAAAAGCAACTGGACTTTCTTCCTTTTTTCTTTGAACAAACAACTTTCTTTGCTTCTTTTCATCAAAGACTTTAATAAACCAACCAACTAACTAACCAACCAACCAACCACATCCACCATGCCATGTCTGAACACCTCCGTTCTGTTCTCACTGTCCTTTGTCTTTTTCATCCATATTTTTGGAACTCCTTTAGTCTACAGGCTAGATTTAGAGGGAATCTCTCTTGCTGAGACCTGTTCAGAGGAGGGCCCATTTGTTGAGTGAAGGCAAATCCACAGTTGCAACCTGAGTGGTGCAAATGGGTGCGGAACCTTCTTGGAATTGCTGAAAGGACTGTGTTGCAGATATCTGGAGAAACCCACAACTGTGTCCTTCCTCAGTGAAACCTCAGACTCCTACACTGCTCTTCCCCTTCCTTTCTACTCTCTGGGGCAAGTTGAGAGGAAGAGGAAGATGCCTTGAAATAGAGGGAGGGATTTGGGGTGAAGAATGTCAGGCCTCTTCTCCATCATTCTTTCTTGAGACAATCTGGATTTTGATTCCCACAGTTGGCCTTGAAGGTTGCTCTCAAGCTTCCCTCAATCCTGGAGTATGACTGTTAAAAGGGACAACAGAGACCACCTAGCTGGGCATTGGGGCTGAATGGGAATTTTTCTAAAAAATAATAATTTAATTTGATTTAGGAGCACCACATAGCATAAGAAAGAAAACAACAAATACACATTAGAGAGAGAGAAAAAAGAAAAGGTAAGAATAACAGTTAGAAATGGCAAATTTGATCAACCACACAAATGTCTTTCTTGTATAGGGGCTCCAGCCACCCTTGCCCAACGCTTGGGAGAAGGGTAGGACTTGAAGGACTTCTAGATCACCATCAGAGTAAGAACCACCTGGATGTCCAGTGTCTCATGCCATGAATGCCAAGTCTCTTCCCTCTTTTTGATGAGCTCAATGAAACCACTGGGAAAGTTCATCTGCCAGGATGAGGTTGGGTGGGAGAAAGAAAAAGCAATCTCAGGAATGCAATAAAGCCCCCTTCCCAATAATGATGCTAAAATACACATAGACACCCCAATTTGGATTGATGTGCCAGAGGCAGTGGTAGGATTCAACCAGTTCTCTGCACTAATGACCAACTGGGTAGGCATGGCTGGGTCATCATGTGACTGGGTGAGCATGGCCAAATTGACATCACTCATGTCAAGGGATGCCTCGCCTCACCCGACTGCTTGCCTTGCTTCCCTAGCACTCTCTATCTTGGAGGGAGGGGTGAAGCGGGGTCGGGCGTGGTGAGGCACGCTATTCAGCCGGTTTGCCAAACTCCACAAAAAATTAACTACTGGTTCTACTGAACTGGTGAAAACTGGCTAAATCCCACTACTGGCCAGAGGTGAGTGACCTGTGAGGGATGGAGACTGTAGGGCTAGTGTGTTGGACCACAATGACGTAGCCCTTCCTTTCCCAGGAAGGAGAGAGGACATTCCACAACATGTTCATGTGTGTGTGTGTGTGTTTGTGTGTGTGTGTGTGACACACAAGAGGCAGACAAGAGGCAGCCCAACAAAATACAAGACAGAGGACGAGATTTAGGATAGCACCTCTCTGGAATCTCCCAAGATATATCTGTTAAGATGAGAGAAGGAAGGTTCTCTGTATTGTGTGTAAGCAAATACACAACTGAACCCTATCTGAATTACTCTTTGTTGTCTCAGTCTTAGCTTCACAACTAAAAGCTGTTCCCATCATCTCACAAAATACATCTCTGAGTGGCAAAAACCCTATAAAGAAGTGATATTAAAAACAGGGATGGAGCCGACATTACTTCAGTGGGACTGATGTTCCTTAAGGCAGGCCTGAACTGGGTCCCACCAGAAGTCGTTCCTAAGCAGTCAGGACCCACCACATGCCTCCTTTTGCGGGATCTGATGGAAGGAACAGATTTAATTGGGAAGAAGTGGTCTCTCAAATAACATAGCACAGGGGTCCCCAACTCCTGGGCTGCAGCCCACTTCATGTGTGGTCGTGGCCTATTTCTGGCCTAATTCAGAATTGGGCCATGCGAGTGGCTGGCCAGATCGTGTGCATATGTGCAGCTCAACTTGTGAGAGCGGTGGGCTGGTGGGCTGAAATTTGTAGAGGTATGTTCTATTTTTTTTTTTTTTTTGCTTTAATTTATATGCCGCCCTTCTCCGGAGACTCAGGGCGGCTTACAATGCGTTAAGCAATAGCCTTCATACTTTTGTATATTTATACAAAGTCAGTTTATTGCCCCCACAATCTGAGTCCTCATTTTACCTACCTTAGAAAGGATGGAAGGCTGAGTCAGCCTTGAGCCTTGGTGAGATTCAAACTTGCAGTAATTGCAGGCAGCAGTTGTTAATAACAGGGCTTAGTCCACTGTACTACAGGCTCTTACTTAATTATCTTAAATAAGATAATTAAATTATCTTATTTAATTTTGAATTAGGCAAAGATTGTGCTACCTTCTAGACATTCAGGAATAGATGCCAACTCCCAGGTGCCCAAGTTTTGTTCATGGAATGGTAATGTTTGCCTTGAATGCCAGTTGATTTTTCATTTGGTCTCAAACAGTTTTGTGGCAGAGGGAAAAAGACACCACAAATCCCCCCTCCCATTCTTTCTTCCTTCTCTGGGTCTCCCTATTCTTCTCTCTCAATCCTTGATATCCACCCAACCCCCCAAGAACAATATCTCAGAGGGGTATAAATAAGTGCCTGTTCCAATCCTGGGCTACACTTTGCATGCTGCAGAGAAGATTGCAAGAAGAAAACTCTGCTGCTGGCCTTGGTGGTGGTGGGTGTTGGTTTATTTTTTGAAGTACAGATGA